CTCTAGTCAGTCTCTCTGGTCTCTCTCTCTCTCTCTGGTCTCTCTCTCTAATCAGTCTCTCTGGTCTCTCTCTCTAGTCTCTCTCTCTGGTCTCTCTCTCTCTGGTCTCTCTCTCTGGTCTCTCTCTCTCTGGTCTCTCTCTCTCTCTGGTCTCTCTCTCTCTGGTCTCTCTCTCTCTGGTCTATTACTGTGACAGAGGCCAAACATACAGGATGTGGTATAGCCGTAGGCACTAGTTCTGTGGTTTGAAAGTTACGTGGCGCAGCTTTAATTTGAAGATCCATGTATTGTGATTAAAACAGAGCAGTTCTGCAGGAGGGGGCGGGGCCGGAGCTAAAACAGGAGCAGGGAGAATCCATGGCCTTTAGATTCCAACGGGAGCCTCTGCGTTGGCCCCGCAGACACTGATCAGACGGGACAGGGGAGGAGGCTGCAGTACAGTTTATTTGGCTCGCACAAACAAACACTGTGTGGATGTCATCGCGGTTACAGAGCTAACTGTTGACGCTAACGGTTGCTAAGTAGAAGTGGTGACCGTGAAGAGTGGACAGAGAGAGACCAGAGAGAGACCAGAGAGAGACCAGAGAGAGACCAGAGAGAGACCAGAGAGAGACCAGAGAGAGACCAGAGAGAGACCAGTGAGAGACCAGAGAGAGACCAGAGAGAGACCAGAGAGAGACCAGAGAGAGACCAGAGAGAGACCAGAGAGAGGCCAGAGAGAGACCAGAGAGAGACCAGAAAGAGGCCAGAGAGAGACCAGAGAGAGACCAGAGAGAGGCCAGAGAGAGACCAGAGAGAGTCCAGAGAGAGGCCAGAGAGAGACCAGAGAGAGACCAGAGAGAGACCAGAGAGAGACCAGAGAGAGACCAGAGAGAGACCAGAGAGAGACCAGAGAGAGACCAGAGAGAGACCAGAGAGAGGCCAGAGAGAGACCAGAGAGAGGCCAGAGAGAGACCAAGAAGGGACCAGAGAGACCAAAGAGACCAAAGAGAGACCAGATAGAGACCAGAGAGAGACCAGATAGAGACCAGAGAGAGACCAAGAGAGAGCAGAGAGAGACCAGAGAGAGACCAGAGAGAGACCAGAGAGAGACCAGAGAGAGACCAGAGAGAGACCAGAGAGAGGCCAGAGAGAGACCAGAGAGAGACCAGAGAGAGGCCAGAGAGAGACCAGAGAGAGACCAGAGAGAGACCAGAGAGAGGCCAGAGAGAGACCAGAGAGAGGCCAGAGAGAGACCAGAGAGGCCAGAGAGAGACCAGAGAGAGACCAGAGAGAGGCCAGAGAGAGACCAGAGAGAGGCCAGAGAGAGACCAGAGAGAGACCAGAGAGAGACCAGAGAGAGGCCAGAGAGAGGCCAGAGAGAGACCAGAGAGAGACCAGAGAGAGACCAGAGAGAGGCCAGAGAGAGACCAGAGAGAGGCCAGAGAGAGACCAGAGAGAGGCCAGAGAGAGACCAAGAAGGGACCAGAGAGACCAAAGAGACCAAAGAGAGACCAGATAGAGACCAGAGAGAGACCAGATAGAGACCAGAGAGAGACCAAGAGAGACCAGAGAGAGACCAGAGAGAGACCAGAGAGAGACCAGAGAGAGACCAGAGAGAAACCAGAGAGAGACCAGAGAGAGACCAAGAGAGACCAGAGAGAGACCAAGAGAGAGCAGAGAGAGACCAGAGAGAGACCAGAGAGAGGCCAGAGAGAGACCAGAGAGAGGCCAGAGAGAGACCAGAGAGAGACCAGAGAGAGGCCAGAGAGAGACCAGAGAGAGGCCAGAGAGAGACCAGAGAGAGACCAGAGAGAGACCAGAGAGAGGCCAGAGAGAGACCAGAGAGAGGCCAGAGAGAGACCAGAGAGAGACCAGAGAGAGGCCAGAGAGAGACCAGAGAGAGGCCAGAGAGAGACCAGAGAGAGCCCAGAGAGAGACCAGAGAGAGGCCAGAGAGAGACCAGAGAGAGGCCAGAGAGAGACCAGAGAGAGGCCAGAGAGAGACCAAGAAGGGACCAGAGAGACCAAAGAGACCAAAGAGAGACCAGATAGAGACCAGAGAGAGACCAGATAGAGACCAGAGAGAGACCAAGAGAGAGCAGAGAGAGACCAGAGAGAGACCAGAGAGAGACCAGAGAGAGACCAGAGAGAGACCAGAGAGAAACCAGAGAGAGACCAGAGAGAGACCAAGAGAGAGCAGAGAGCGACCAGAGAGAGACCAGAGAGAGACCAGAGTTTTAAAGGGAATTTAAGGGAAACAGGATTTTTCAAAATTAAAGTTTGGCGCTTCATAGAGAATTAAATACAGTTGAGGGATAAACATTTTAGCATAATCTTGACTAAAACAAACAGATGCCGTCTCACATTGAGAGAGCGCCCCCTGTTGGCCCTGTTTCGCCATCACGTGAACAGGAGATTTCTTGAAGACTGGACCAGACTTTTGAGCCCAAAGCACCAAACTCTTTCTTCCACAGGCTCTCATGTGCCTTCAACCAAGTGAGGCACGTTTTGATGATATTATCGAGAACTTACAAATAAAACCATTAATGAAGGGTTTCTTTACCTTCTGTTCATATTTTAACTTGGAAATCAAACAATTAGATTAAATTACATAACTTAATTTTCAGTGAGTTCCCCAAATGTCAATTAATTCCCATTATTCCCATGGAAAGTCTCCAATTTGTAATATCTCCAAATATCCCCAGCTTAACTTCACATGGAAATGTACTGGAAAATGTCTGTCCCTTTGCAACTCCAGATGCAACACTGAACTTTCCCCAGTGTGGGACAAAAAAAGAAAGTGTTAAATCCACAGACCTCATTATTCACGAAAGCGTCAGGAAACTACGGATCTCAGTGTCTCTTCTCATCCTGAACCGTTTTTATCTCGGCTCGCTCTCGTTCCGCTCTACCTCCGCTCGGACCAGCTGCGCTCTGATTGGTCAGAACGCTCACATTTCTCTCTGGTCCTGCAGAAACAGAACCACTGCACCATCTGCACAAGACCAGGAGAACCAGAACTGACCAGAACACGCCACATCTATTAATGTTTGAAACGTCCAAGGTGCGAATATGGGAAAACACAAGCCACTGATCTGAAGGAGCAGCCATCTTGAAAAAAACTGAAGCAGACATCTTGGAGAGACCTGGGCAGACATCTTGAAAAAACCTGAAGCAGACATCTTGGAGACATGGGGTAGACATCTTGAAGAGACCTAGGGTAGACATCTTGAAGAGACCTAGGGTAGACATCTTGGAGAGACTTGGGGCAGACATCTTGAAAAAACCTGAAGCAGACATCTTGGAGACATGGGGCAGACATCTTGGAGAGACCAGGGACAGAAATCTTGGAGAGTCAGAGCTATTGTTGTAAGTTCCCTCATGTAAAAGGGTCATTTCTTTTTATATTTCCAACAGCTGTGTCTCTACATGAGCAGGTGTCCTGTACATGCAGCGGACATGTTTGTAGTCAGAGGTGCTCCTACAGCCGGTGTGAGCCTGTCTCAGAGTCTGTGTGTACCCTTCACTGCACAGGACTCTGGGAAGGCTTTACAAGTGCTGCGTGAATATTTCATGTGACGGTTTTGCACAGTTTCAGAGCTTCGCAAACAAGTCACGGCAAGCTTTGGACTGGAGTCTGCGGCCGGCAGACACATTTAAGAGACTTTATTACAGAAGTACATGTTAGTTTGCTTTTGTGCTGCACTTTGAGAAGCTTCCACAGCTCTGTAACATGCACGAGCATAATAACCAATAATAACAGCTGCAGTATTCTAGCACTTGTGATGAAGAGGGAGCAGCATCTGCCGTCAGGGCTCTTGCTTGACCGTTAAGTCTACATTTCCAAACCAAGCTCTGCTCATGAGATTTGGGGCAGGACCCAAAGGAAGAGCTGGAGGACACAAGCAGACGAGAAAAGGAGGGAAGGGAAGAGCTCAGAGTACAGCCACTGATCTAGTCTGGCCTTATCCATCCGTACTCTCCGTTCAGTCATCATTTCACTGCATGTAACGTCTGGGTCTGGTCCCTGTGTTAGCGAATACAATCGGTCGTATTTCGACCGGCTACTCAGAGAGCGCGGAAGGCGGCTGTTGTAGGTCGGTGCCGGTGACGTCAAGAGTTTGCTCCGAACGGGCAGGTTGTAGTTTTTCAGTGGCGAAGAATGCGATAGTAAAGTAATCCGCTCTGGTTCTATCAAGAAACTGAAGCCGGAGCAAGAGGAATGTTTCGCAAATGTAATCGCTGGTCAAGATTGTGGCGCTACTCCCCACGGGCTCCGTTAGCAGCAAAGGAGATGGCTAAAGCTAGGCTAAATGCTAAATGCTAACAACAGACTCGGGCGCACTACATACGTCACGGTAAACTCAGATCCAATCGTTTCAATCTGCAAAAGGAGTTAACCCCTCCCACCACTAAACGGAGTCAATGGAGCAAATCCAGACCTTAGTATGAAATGAAATTTGTACTATGGTGTGGTACGACCAGGCTACCACTGATCCTCCATGTGAAGAAGAATATGTCTCTCTGGTCTCTCACTTGGGTCTCACTCTTGGGTCTCACTCTTGGGTCTCACTCTTGGGTCTCACTCTTGGGTCTCACTCTTGGGTCTCACTCTTTGGGTCTCACTCTTGGGTCTCACTCTTTGGGTCTATTTCTTTGGTCTGTGTCTCTCAAGTCTCTCTCCCGGGTCCCTCTCTCTCTCTCTTATCTTTTTTGGTTCTCTCTCTCTCTTGGTCTCTCTCTCTCTGTTCCGTCTCTCGGGTTTCTCTCTGTTCCGTCTCTCGGGTCTCTCTCTCTGGTCTTTCTCTTTTTCACTTTTCGGTCTGGTGAAGCTGGTCCTAAGATGTGACAGATTCCATAAATACACGCATGTAAAATCCAGCAATCGAAGCAAACTCTTTTTAGAACCTGCAACTAATGACAAGAGTTCTGTTGTCGTGGTCTGAAAGTTACGTAACCCACCTTTAAGTCCCACTTTTCCTGCAGTTTGTCGACCAGCTCCCCCAGCCTTTAACTCACCTTGCACCCGAACATAAGCGAGATGGTGTTGTTGCTGCATGCTACTTTGCAGTGGCACAACATGGGGCTAACGTTAGCTGCAGCCGCTCTCGCTCTGGGGGGGCATCCTCAGCCTTCACACCGATGCGAACGCCTTTCCCCGCCGCCAGCCGCTACATCCACAGCGCGTCCGTCCGTCACCGCGTCCTGCCTCCTCCCCCCGGGCCGCGGACACCCCCCAGCCTCTGCCCTCAGCTCTGGATGCGCACCGAGCCGACTGTCCTGTTGACGAGCGGCTCCCATGTCTCGGGACGCTCCGTGTGCCCCGTCCTCCTCTCTCTCCTCTCTGCTCCACTCTCTCCTCTCTCTCCTCTCTCTCCTCTCTGCTCCTCCTCTCTCCTCTCTCTCCTCTCTGCTCCTCTCTCTCCTCTCTCTCCTCTCTGCTCCACTGCTCCCATCAGCCCCCTCTGCGATCAATGGCCCGCACACACACACACACACACAGCGCGGTCACATGGTCCGGACGGCAGGATGCAGAGTGCGCTCGCTGTGGGACGGTGTGGAACGGGACAGTACCCAAGTTTACACCACCTAATGACTGCTGCTGTCAGACTGTACCACGAACACGGCCGGCCTGACCTCCCATGTCTGTGCGAAAATCAGTTGAATAAAGTCAGAATGAGAAACCACGGATTGATGCACTAGAATATACACTTTTTATTACAGAGAAAGTCCCACTCATTGTCCAGAGGTATTGAAAAACTTTAAGAGCTCAAAAGAACTGGCTCTAAGACCAGAGAGAGACCAGAGAGAGACCAGCAAGAGACCAGAGAGAGAGAGAGAGAGACCAGAGAGAGACCAGAGAGAGACCAGAGAGAGACCAGAGAGAGACCAGAGAGAGACATGAGAGAGAGACCAGAGAGAGACCAGAGAGAGACCAAAGAGAGACCAGAGAGAGACCAGAGAGAGACCAGAGAGAGAGACCAGAGAGAGACCAGAGAGAGACCAGAGAGAGAGACCAGAGAGAGACCAGAGAGAGAGACCAGAGAGGGACCAGAAAGAGACCAGAGAGAGACCAGAGAGAGAGACCAGAGAGAGAGACCAGAGGGAGAGACCAGAGAGAGAGACCAGAGAGAGAGACCAGAGAGAGAGCAGAGAGAGAGACCAGAGAGAGAGACCAGAGAGAGACCAGAGAGAGAGACCAGAGAGAGAGAGACCAGGGAGAGACCAGAGAGACCAGAGAGAGACCAGAGAGAGAGACCAGGGAGAGACCAGGGAGAGACCAGAGAGACCAGAGAGAGACCAGAGAGCAGAGAGAGACCAGAGAGAGACCAGAGAGAGAGACCAGAGAGAGAGACCAGAGGGAGAGACCAGAGAGAGAGACCAGAGAGAGAGACCAGAGAGAGAGCAGAGAGAGAGACCAGAGAGAGACCAGAGAGAGAGACCAGAGAGAGAGACCAGAGAGAGAGAGACCAGGGAGAGACCAGAGAGACCAGAGAGAGACCAGAGAGAGAGACCAGAGAGAGAGACCAGGGAGAGACCAGGGAGAGACCAGAGAGACCAGAGAGAGACCAGAGAGCAGAGAGAGACCAGAGAGAGACCAGAGAGAGACCAGAGAGAGACCAGAGAGAGACCAGAGAGAGAGACCAGAGAGAGACCAGAGAGAGAGACCAGAGAGAGAGACCAGAGAGAGACCAGAGAGAGACCAGAGAGAGAGACCAGAGAGAGACCAGAGAGAGACCAGAGAGAGACCAGAGAGAGAGACCAGATAGAGACCAGAGAGAGAGACCAGAGAGAGAGACCAGAGAGAGACCAGAGAGAGACTAGAGAGAGAGACCAGAGAGAGACCAGAGAGAGAGACCAGAGAGGGACCAGAAAGAGACCAGAGAGAGACCAGAGAGAGAGACCAGAGAGAGAGAGACCAGAGGGAGAGACCAGAGAGAGAGACCAGAGAGAGAGACCAGAGAGAGACTAGAGAGAGAGACCAGAGAGAGACCAGAGAGAGAGACCAGAGAGGGACCAGAAAGAGACCAGAGAGAGAGACCAGAGAGAGAGAGACCAGGGAGAGACCAGAGAGACCAGAGAGAGACCAGAGAGAGAGACCAGAGAGAGAGACCAGGGAGAGACCAGAGAGACCAGAGAGAGACCAGAGAGCAGAGAGAGACGAGAGAGAGACCAGAGAGAGACCAGAGAGAGACCAGAGAGAGACCAGAGAGAGACCAGAGAGAGAGACCAGAGAGACCAGAGAGAGACCAGAGAGAGAGACCAGAGAGAGAGAGACCAGGGAGAGACCAGAGAGACCAGAGAGAGACCAGAGAGAGAGACCAGAGAGAGAGACCAGGGAGAGACCAGGGAGAGACCAGAGAGACCAGAGAGAGACCAGAGAGCAGAGAGAGACGAGAGAGAGACCAGAGAGAGACCAGAGAGAGAGACCAGGGAGAGACCAGGGAGAGACCAGAGAGACCAGAGAGAGACCAGAGAGCAGAGAGAGACCAGAGAGAGACCAGAGAGAGACCAGAGAGAGACCAGAGAGCCAGCCAATTAGCTCCCAGCAAAAGAGTCCAATAGTGACAGTTTCTTGCACATAAGAGAACAGCATGTTGTGGTCTAATTAGTTCTGCAGATAAAGTACAGACCACAGGGGGCGCCGTGGAGCTGCAGAGACAGAGGCACATGTCTCTCTGGACACAAACGCCGCTGACAACATTCATTGATATTTTTCTCCAATCGCAAATATGACCTCATTGTGACCTGTGTGAAACATGCACGCACAGGCTGAATGGTCTCTGGTCTCTCTCTCTGGTCTCTCTCTCTGGTCTCTCTCTCTCTGGTCTCTCTCTCTCTGGTCTCTCGCTGGTCTCTCCTTGATTTCTCTCTTTGGTCTGGTCCAGGAAAGGGGTCAGGGAGGGAGTCGTGGGGAACTATTGTACATGTTTGAGTGGAAGGGTCAACCGTAGCACCCGGAGGAAACCGAAACACCCAGCCAAAACCTTACGCAAACACAGAAATAACAAGCAAACTCCAACCAGAAAGGCCCAGCACATTCTTGCAGAGAAGCAAAAGTGCTGGAACCAAAAGCTCAGGTCTATGGTCTTCGCTGGCTTCTATCTGGTCTCTCTTTGGTCTCCCTATGGTCTCGCTCTTTCTGGTTTCTCTCTGGACTCTTGACTGAAGAGTTTATTCCACATTCTAAAACATGAAATGACAAAGTAAATAGTCTCATTATATTTTTCAAAAGCCAAAGATACTGTAATCGTTCTTCTCTAACGAGTCTGTTTCCGCGGCTGAGGTCCGGAGCCTGATGACGGGCGACAGTCTGATCAATAATGTAAACCAGTTATTCTGAGCTCAGCCTAAAACCTGACAGTTTCTCATCAACCAGGAGCTACAGAGACACTTCCCAACATAATATTCACAAGGAGGAGAGACCAGAGAGAGACCAGAGAGAGACCAGAGAGAGACCAGAAAGAGACCAGAAAGAGACCAGAGAGACCAGAGAGAGACAAGAGAGAGACCAAAGAGAGACCAGAGAGAGACCAGAGAGGGGACCAGAGAGAGACTAGAGAGGGACCAGAGAGGGACCAGAGAGACAGAGAGAGACCAGAGAGAGACCAGAGAGAGACCAGAGAGAGAACAGAGAGAGACCAGAAAGAGACCAGAAAGAGACCAGAAAGAGACCAGAAAGAGACCAGAGAGAGACCAGAGAGAGACAAGAGAGAGACCAAAGAGAGACCAGAGAGAGACCAGAGAGGGACCAGAGAGAGACTAGAGAGGGACCAGAGAGAGACCATGAGAGAGACCAGAGAGAGACCCGAGAGGAGACCAGAGAGAGAGAGACCAGAGAGAGACCAGAGAGAGAGACAAGAGAGAGACCAGAGAGAGACCAGAGAGAGACCAGAGAGAGGCCAGAGAGAGACCAGAGAGAGACCAGAGAGAACAGAGAGACCAGAGACCAGAGAGAGAGAGACCAGAGAGAGACCAGAGAGAGAGACCAGAGAGAGAGACCAGAGAGAGAGAGAGACCAGAGAGAGAGAGAGAGACCAGAGAGAGACCAGAGAGAGACAAAGAGACCAGAGAGAGGCCAGAGAGAGAGACCAGAGAGAGACCAGAGAGACCAGAGAGAGAGACCAGAGAGAGAGAGGCCAGAGAGAGGCCAGAGAGAGGCCAGAGAGAGACCAGAGAGAGACAAGAGAGAGACCCATTCAACAGCCCAAACTGTGACAGTAAGAGCTTCACACACTCAAACACAGCTCCACGGCTCGTTACGCTCTCAAGATTAAAAGTACTGTCCTTCGTGTGACTTAATTACACCTGTATTTGGTCAATGTCAAAAAATCACAAAAAAAGTAGGTCGCAAGGCGGGTTGAAGGCCCAGTTGTTCTGACCCACCTGCCCATGTCCTCAGAGGAGACCCAGTGTTTTTGCTCAGTGGAAATGAGGCTCAAGAAAACGGATCAGATCCGTCTTTATCCAAAACAAATGTCACAGACTTTGTGTTTTTTGACTAAAACATTAAATGCCAAAGGAATGGGTCAAGATCATGTGAAGGAGCACATTTGGAGCAGCGTTATCATCAGAGAGGGGAGAAGGAGGAGGAGGGAGGAGGTGAAGAGGGGAGGTGCGAGGTGTGCAGATGTGCTCGCTCATGGGCACCTGGGGGGATTCGGGGAACGTTAGTAGGGTCAGCCAGGCCACTAAACTGTGATTGTCCAAAGCAGAGAAGGAGAGGAGAGAGAGGAGAGAGGGGAGAGAGAGGCAAGAGAGGAGAGGGGAGAGAGAGAAGAGAGGGGGAGATAGAGAGAAGGGAGAGAGGCAAGAGAGGGTGAGGGAGAGGGGAGGAGGGGAGAGAGAGGAGAGGAGAGAGAGAGGGGAGAGAGGGAGAGGGGAGAGAGGGGATGAGAGAGGAGAGAGAGGAGAGGGATGAGAGAGGGGAAGAGTGAGAGGAGGAGAGGGAGAAGAGGGAGAGGAGAGAGGAGAGTGAGGGGAGAGAGTAGAGGAGAGAGGGAGAAGAGGAGAGCGGGAGAGAGAGGCAAGAGAGAGGAGATGGGAGGGGAGAGAGGTGGAGAAGAGAGGAAGGAGAGAGAGGGAGAGAGGGAGAGAGGGGGAGAGAGGGGGAGGGAGAGGGGAGAGGGAGAGGGTGAGAGAGAGGGGAGAGAGGGGAGAGAGGAGAGGGGGGAGAGGTAGAAGAGGAGAGGGGAGGGGTGTGGGGAGAGAGGCAAGAGAGGGAGATGGAGAGGGGGGGAGAGGGGAGAGAGAGGAGAGGATGAGAGAGGGGAGAGAGGGAGAGGGGAGAGAGGGGAGAGCGGGAGAGGGAGAGAGAGTGGGAGAGAGGGAGGAGGGGAGGAGAGGGGAGAGAGGGGTTGAGAGGGACCGAGGGGAGAGAGAGGGGGAGAGGGAGGTGAGGAGAGAGGGGAGAGAGAGGGGAGAGGCAGAGGAGAGAGGGGAGAAAGGGAGAAGAGAGGAGGGGAGAGGGGGGAGAAGAGAGGACTGATTCTGCACTGTAGCACTCTCCCTCTCCCTCTCTCCTCACCCTCTCCCCTCTCCCCTCTATATTCCTCTCCTCTCTCCCCTCCTCTCCGCTCTTTCCTCTCTCTCCCCCTCTCCTCCTCTCTCCCTCCCTCTCCCCTCTCCCTCTCTCTCCCTCTCTCTTCCTCATCCTCTCTTCTCTCTCCCTCTCCTCTCTCCCCCTAACTCGCCTCTCCCCTCTCTCTCCTCTCTCCTCTCCCCTCTCTCTCCTCTCTCCCCTCTCCTCTCTCTCCTCTCTCTCCCCTCTCCTATTCTCTCCTCTCTCTCCTCTCTCTCCCCTCTCTCTCCTCTCTCTCCCCTCTCTCCTCTCTCTCCTCTCTCTCCCCCCTCTCCTCTCTCTCCTCTCTCTCCCCTCTACTCTCTCCCCTTCTCCTCTCTCTCCTCTCTCTCGCCTCTCCCCTCTCTCTCCTCCTCTCTCCTCTCTCCCCTCTCTCCCCTCTCTTCTCTCTCCTCTCTCTCCTCTCCCCTCTCCTCTCTCTCCTCTCTCTCCCCTCTCTTCTCTCTCCTCTCTCTCCTCTCCCCTCTCTCGCCTCTCCCCTCTCTCTCCTCTCTCCTCTCCCCTCTCTCTCCTCTCTCCCCTCTCCTCTCTCTCCTCTCTCTCCCCTCTCCTCTCTCTCCTCTCTCTCCTCTCTCTCCCCTCTCTCTCCTCTCTCTCCTCTCTCTCCCCTCTCTCCTCTCTCTCCTCTCTCTCCCCCCCTCCTCTCTCTCCTCTCTCTCCTCTCTCTCCCCTCTACTCTCTCCCCTCTCCTCTCTCTCCTCTCCTCTCTCTCTCTCTCGCCTCTCCCCTCTCTCCCCTCTTTCCCCTCTCCTCTCTCTTCTCTCTCCCCCCCTGCCTCTACACTCTCCTCTCTCCCCTCCTCTCAGCTCTTTCCTCTCTCTCCTCTCTCTCCTCTCCCCTCTCCTCTCTCTCCTCTCTCTCCTCTCTCCTCTCTCCTCTCTCTCCTCTCCCCTCTCTCTCCTCTCTCCCTCTCTCCCCTCTAAGCTCATGCAGAGGTCGCAGGTCAGCCAGTGAACAGCTATGACATCACTTCTGCACGAGTGAGTCCATCCTCTCTCTTTCAGTCTCTACACAAACACCACTGAGGTAATGGTAAAAATAGTAAATGATTCTCTCTGGTCTCTCTATAGTCTCCCTCTTTGGTCTCTCTGGTCTCTCTGTCAGGTTTCTCTCTCTGGTCCCTCTCTGGTCTCTCTCTGGTCCCTCTCTGGTCCCTCTCTGGTCCCTCTCTGGTCTCTCTCTGGTCCCTCTCTCTGGTCTCTCTCTGGTCCCTCTCTGGTCTCTCTCTGGTCTCTCTCTGGTCCCTCTCTGGTCCTACTCTCTCTCTGGTCTTACTCTCTCTTTGGTCCCTCTCTGGTCTCTCTCTGGTCTCTCTTTGGTCTCTCTCTGGTCTCTCTTTGGTCTCTCTCTGGTCCCTCTTTCTGGTCTCTTTCTCCTGCTCTCTCTCTGGTCCCTCTCTGGTCCTACTCTCTCTCTGGTCTCTCTCTGGTCCTGCTCTCTCTCTGGTCTTTCTCCGGTCTCTCTCTCTGGTCCCCCTCTCTCTCTCTCTCCCCCTCCCTCCCTCTCTCAGATCTAAATGCCGTGATGAGCAGGTATCAGATGTGATCAATCGTGTCAAAGCGTGAGGACCTCTGGCCTCGAACTAATGCGCCTTAATTACTGATACACATGACGATACACACACACGCACACACACACTACACACACACACACACTACATATACAGTACACACACACACACATACACACTACCACAATTATGCAAAATATGAAACTTCTCGACCACTTCTCGATAATAACAAAGTGTCCGTTACCTGGACAGTGGGTGCGGATTGAGGCCGGTCCATTTCCCCTTTAATTCTGCATCTTTAGTCCAGCTTAATCCACTCAAGCTCTACTTTGAGTCCACTTTTAGTCCAGAGTTAGTCCATTTCTGGTCCACTCCTGCTCTACATTAAGTCCAGCTTTGGTCCACTCTTGGCTCCCTTTAAGTCCAGCTTTATTCCACTCTTGGTTCACTTTAAGTCCACTTTTAGTCCAGGTTTGGTCCCCTCCTGGTCCACTTTGAGTCCACTTGTGGCTTCGGCCGTCCTCTTTCCCTTGAATGGCAGAAACCCCACGCTCCGGGACGGTCCCACAGATTACGGTGGCGGTTACATCACGGCACCAGCTGGCCCCCTCTGCGGCGCGCTCCGGCGTTTTCCTTATTTCTGCGTCCAGGTTGTGCTTGGATGTTGTGTAACCTGAAATAGCGCGGGGCTTGTAAAGCTATTACCCGCCTTAGCTAATCCTCTTAGCGCGGGGGACTCTTGCTCTCTTCAGCGCAGGAGCCACTGACACTAAGTGAGGCAGGTGAGGCTCCGGTCCCTGGGAGTGGTGAGGCTCCGTGAGGCTCTCCGGTCCTGGGGGTGGTGAGACTCCGGTCCTCGGGGGCGGTGAGGCTCCGATCCCTGGGGTGGTGAGACTCCGGTCCCTGGGGTGGTGAGGCTCCGGTGCCGGGGGGTGGTGAGGCTCCGGTGCCGGGGGGTGGTGAGGCTCCGGTCCTGGGGGGTGGTGAGACTCCGGTCCCTGGGGTGGTGAGGCTCCCGGTGCCGGGGGGTGGTGAGGCTCCGGTGCCGGGGGGTGGTGAGGCTCCGGTGCCGGGGGGTGGTGAGGCTCCGGTGCCGGGGGGTGGTGAGGCTCCAGTGCCGGGGGGCGGTGAGGCTCCGGTCCCTGGGGTGGTGAGGCTCCGGTCCCTGGGGCGGTGAGGCTCCGGTGCTGGGGGGCGGTGAGGCTCCGATCCCTGGGGTGGTGGTGAGGCTTCGGTCCCTGGGGTGGTGAGGCTCCGGTGCCGGGGGGTGGTGAGGCTCCGGTGCCGGGGGGTGGTGAGGCTCCGGTTCCTGGGGGGTGGTGAGGCTCCGGTGCCGGGGGGTGGTGAGGCTCCGGTGCCGGGGGGTGGTGAGGCTCCGGTTCCTGGGGCGGTGAGGCTCCGGTGCCGGGGGGGTGGTGAGGCTCCGGTCCCTGGGGTGGTGAGGTTCCGGTGCCGGGGGGTGGTGAGGCTCCGGTTCCTGGGGCGGTGAGGCTCCGGTGCCGGGGGGTGGTGAGCTTTGTTTTGTTGTATCACAAAAACTATGTTAGCAATGTTAGTTTCACAGCAAGAAGGTCCTGGGTTCAACTCCACCTCCAGGCCTTTCTGAGTGGCCACCCCATGTTCTCCCCGTGTCTGCGTAGGTTTCCTCTGGGTGCTCCGGTTTTCCCTATCACTATAAACATGAACAATAGGTCTGCATAATTGTAGTGTTCTTCATTTTTTCGTGTATTTCAAAAGTTTTTGTATTTTTGGAATGTTTGTATTTAGTTTCTTTTCATGTCTAGGTGTGAATGTAGTAAGTGAGAGAATGGGTGGTGTTGGTTGGAGGAGGTGTGGAGGAGGTGGAGGAGGTGTGGAGGAGGTGTGGAGGAGGTGGAGGAGGTGTGGAGGAGGTGGAGGAGGTGTGGAGGAGGTGGAGGTGTGGAGGAGGTGTGGAGGAGGTGTGGAGGAGGTGTGGAGGAGGTGTGGAGGAGGTGGAGGAGACAACGATCAGAACCATCAACAGGCACTGGACGGTTCACAAATTTGCAATGTTCCAATTTATTTTTGTATTTTTTCTTTTGTATTATTTTCCTTTCCATAAGTGTATTTTATAATGTTTTTTACCTGTGGGTCTGCAGAGGGACTATGGGGGAGGGGGGCATAGAGGCACATTCTGAGATTCAATAATATATTAACTTTATTGATCACACAACGGTTCAAACACATAAAACAGACAGATGTAAACTGTGGTAAAACGCTGTGACTCTTTGAGCTGAGAGACTTTTCCAACTTTTCTGTCTGAAAAACACTGGTCTAAAAATGTGAAAGAAGAAGATGCAGGAAAACTGGTGATGACCACGGTTACCATCGTGACCACCGTGAACACCATGAACACTGTGAAGCTCCCATGACCCCCGTGAAGCCCACCCCAGATTAAAGGAGGCAGACGGAGCAGAGTAATCCTGTCCATGCTGAGAGTGGATCAGAGGAGGTAGAGTCCAATCACTCAGAAACACTGAAGCCGGATTTCAAACCTAAACTATTAAACTCCAGTTTCATGGTTTTAAAGTCAGACATTCTGCCGTTGACATGAGCCCTGTCCACGTCCCCTTCTGTCCACGTCCCCCTGCCCCTTCTGTCCACGTCCCCCTGCCCCTTCTGTCCACGTCCCCCTGCCCCTTCTGTCCACGTCCCCCTGCCCCTTCTGTCCACGTCCCCCTGCCCCTTCTGTCCACGTCCCCCTGCCCCTTCTGTCCACGTCCCCCTGCCCCTTCTGTCCACGTTCCGCCGCCCCTTCTGTCCACGTTCCGCCGACCCTTCTGTCCACGTCCCCCTGCCCCTTCTGTCCACGCCCCCCTGCCCCTTCTGTCCACGTCCCCCTGCCCCTTCTGTGCACGTCCCCCTGCCCCTTCTGTCCACGCCCCCTTGCCCCTTCTGTCCACGTCCCCCTGCCCCTTCTGTGCACGTCCCCCTGCCCCTTCTGTCCACGTCCTCCTGCCCCTTCTGTCCACGTCCCCCTGCCCCTTCTGTCCACGTCCCCTTCTGTCCACGTCCCCTTCTGTCCACGCCCCCCTGCCCCTTCTGTCCACGTCCCCCTGCCCCTTCTGTGCACGTCCCCCTGCCCCTTCTGTCCACGCCCCCTTGCCCCTTCTGTCCACGTCCCCCTGCCCCTTCTGTGCACGTCCCCCTGCCCCTTCTGTCCACGTCCTCCTGCCCCTTCTGTCCACGTCCCCCTGCCCCTTCTGTCCACGTCCCCTTCTGTCCACGTCCCCTTCTGTCCACGTCCCCCTGCCCCTTCTGTCCACGTCCCCCCGTCCCTTCTGTCCGTGTGCTCCTGAATCAAACCTGGTACACTATAGTGAATCTTTACTGTTGAATTATGTTCAAAGCTTAGACTGTATACAGATATGACAATGCTAACACAGACTGTATACAGATAGACATTAGACCGCTGGACCTGTGGACCAGTCTCAGTCTGCACCCTGGACTCCTCTAGACCTATGGACCAGTCCCAGTCTGCACCCTGGACTCCTCTAGACCTATGCACCAGCCCTCATTCTGCACCCTGGACTCCTCTAGACCTATGGACCAGTCCCAGTCTGCACCCTGGACTCCTCTAGACCTATGGACCAGTCCCAGTCTGCACCCTGGACTCCTCTAGACCTATGGACCAGTCCCAGTCTGCACCCTGGACTCCTCTAGACCTATGGACCAGTCCCAGTCTGCACCCTGGACTCCTCTAGACCTATGGACCAGTCCCAGTCTGCACCCTGGACTCCTCTAGACCTATGGACCAGTCCCAGTCTGCACCCTGGACTCCCCCTGGACCAAACACAGCCCTTACCTTGGTCAGGAAGACGCAGATACAGTCCATGAGCTTCTAGAACCTGTATAATCTCAATAATCTCTATATTCTGGGTTCCATAGTTTCCTTCAAAGCGGCAGAACCCTGGAGCGCTGCTGTGTGCACCGAGAGGACAGATGTGAGGGTCAGAGGAGTTTGGGGAGCAGCACATGCCCCACATACGGCGTGTGGACTTCACTTATGATTCTGAAGAGGGAACGAGGAGGCAAAGAGACCACGGCGTCTGCACTGGGGCTGAGCGACTAAACTAAATATCACAACAGTTTAATTCACAATGTAAACAGCTCTGGGAGAAATCTACAAAACTTGTCAAAAAAAAGGAATTGCTTGAATATTTCTCAATAAAGGTGAGATCAATAAAGTTCTATCTTATCATAACCGCCGACTGAACCCCAACCACATCAGGTAAACACTAATAACATGACACCACTGTGATTAGTTCAGAGGTCTCTCTCTGGTCTCACTGTGGTCTCACTGCGGTCTCTATCTCTGGTCTCTCCCTGATCTCTCGCTGGTCTCACTGTGGTCTCTCTCTCTGGTCTCTTTCTGGTTCTCTCTCTGGTCTCTCTGGTCTCTCTCTGGTCTCTCTGGTCTCTCTGGTCTCTCTGGTCTCTCTCTGGTCTCTCTCTGGTCTCTCTCTGGTCTCTCTCTGGTCTCTCTCTGGTCTCTCTCTCTGGTCTCTCTCTGGTCCCTCTCTGGTCCCTCTCTGGTCTCTCTCTGGTCTCTCTCTGGTCTCTCTCTGGTCTCTCTCTCTGGTCTCTCTCTCTGGTCTCTCTCTGGTCTCTCTCTGGTCCCTCTCTGGTCTCTCTCTGGTCTCTCTCTCTGGTCTCTCTCTGTGGTCTCTCTCTGGTCTCTCTCTGGTCCCTCTCTGGTCCCTCTCTGGTCTCTCTCTGGTCTCTCTCTGGTCTCTCTCTGGTCTCTCTCTGGTCTCTCTCTGGTCCCTCTGCAGGTTGTCATAGAACACATCACCCTCGCGATGAACCAGGGTCGAGTTCAGTCCAAAGCCTTTCGCACGAGCCGACGATGGTTTGTTGATGGTCTTACCTTGACGGGCGTCTTGGGCGGGACAGGTCTCGGACTCAGGCTGCTCGGGGACAGGCTCGTGGGGCTGCGGGGACAGAGCGGAAAAAAGATAAAAAGATAAAATAAATATAAAAGATAAATAAAGTCAGACCACTATAGCTAAGCAGGGCAGGGCCTGGTTAGTCCTGTGATGGGAGACCTCTGGGAACACCAGGTGCCACTGTGGGGCGGCTGTGGCTGTAAAGTGCCAAACTGTGGTTGTGTCTTTAGGCAAGACACTTCCTCCACATTAGAATGAGTCTGGTGTGTGTGTGAATGGTTGGTGGTGGTGGGAGGGGCCAATGGCACAGACTGGTTGCCTCGCTTTTGTCAGTGTGCCCCAGGGCAGCTGTGGCTACAGTAGTAGTTTATCACCAGTAGTTTATGTGTATGGAGTGAATGAATAATAATGTCCTGAATGTGTCTGTTCTCTTACCTGCGCAGGGGCCCTTTGGCAAACGGCCCCGGGCTGATGGTGGGACTGGGGCCACAGATCTCTGTCCGGTCTCTGGTCTCTCTCTGGTCTCTGCTGGGACTGCTGGGACCTCTGAACTCGGCCCAGTCTCTGGTCTGACTGCTCCCTCTGTGCTCTGAGGACACTGAAACATCCTGGTCCTTCTCTGCTTGGCTCGGGGCAGGCAGGGCAGGTGCGGCAACAGGTGTGGTGGTTGTGGCGGGCAGTAGGCCTTGCACCGTGCCCGAGACCAGTGCCGAGACGGTGGCGTGCTCCCCAGGCGTCACCGCGGGCTGAGGCGCGATGGTGGCGTACTCTGACTGAGGGTCGGACGGGTCGAAGCCGTTGTGCGAGGCCCGGTCTCCTCCGGTTGCCGCGGAAACCCGGTCTTGCATTGGGGGCAGCGGTGCGCGGTATTTCTTGCTGGATTGCGGCTGAAGCGGTGACGTGGAGGGCAGGGTGGCGGGCTGCTGGGGCACGGGCGGCGCGGGGGACTTGAAGGACTTGGGTTTGGGGGAGATGAGGGGTTTGCTGAGGGTCTCTCTGGGTGGAGACTGTGAGGGGACGTGGGGGCTCTGGTGGTTCTCGGTGGAGGTTCGGAGCGGGGCAGAGGGCGAGGGTCCACTTGGGGAAGACTCCGGGCAGATTTGGAGTTTGGTGAGTTCAGAGGTCGGTGCATCATGGGCGTCGGCCTGAACGCTCAGCTCGTAATACTCCTGGATGTCTGCGGAAAAGAGAGAACTCGATTATTGTTTTATTTATTGTTTGTTTGGTTTCATTTACGGTAATGAACCTCTGTTTAGCCTTGATTTAGCCTTGGATTCATTTGCATCTGACGCCACTCAGACACAGACTTCACCCATCACCCTGAACTCTCTCTGGTCTCTCTCTGGTCTCCTGGTCTCTCCCTGGTCTCTCCCTGGTCTCTCTCTCTGGTCTCTCTCTCTGGTCTCTCTCTCTCTGGTCTCTCTCTGGGCTCTCTCTGGTCTCTCTCTCTGGTCTCTCTCTGGTCTCTCTCTGGTCTCTCTCTGGTCTCTCTCTGGTCTCTCTTGGGTCTCTCTCGGGTCTCTCTCGGGTCCCTCTCGGGTCCCTCTGGGGTCCCTCTCGGGTCTCTCTCGGGTCTCTCTCGGGTCTCTCTCGGGTCTCTCTCGGGTCTCTCTCGGGTCTCTCTCGGGTCTCTCCCTGGTCTCTCCCTGGTCTCTCCCTGGTCTCTCCCTGGTCTCTCTCTGGTCTCTCTCTGGTCTCTCTCTGGTCTCTCTCTGGTCTCTCTCTGGTCTCTCTCTGGTCTTTCTCTGGTCTCTCTCTGGTCTTTCTCTAGTCTCTCTCTGGTCTCTCTCTGTTCTCCTCTAATCTCTCTCTGGTCTCTCTGGTCTTTCTATTCTCTCTCTGGTCTCTCTCTGGTCTCTCCGGTCTTCCTGGTCTCTCTCCGTGGTTTCTACCAAAAATACACGCCAGGTGAAAACAAGTAGACAATAGAATCAAACTTTCAAAGAATCAAAGAGCGAGGAACTAGTGACATGTATTTGATTACAGATTACTGTTGCAGCTTTAAGTAGATTCTCAATAATCTCTCAAAAAGGTGCAGTAAATGCCTTACACAGTGGCGTCCTCTAGTGGTGTCCTCACAGCACTGCAGCCACATTTTCATTCTAAATAAGTCAAGCTTTTCCTCAAAAGGGAATCAAGCTTACTGTATGGAACCAGGGCCAAGCTGGTACTAAAGAAGAATTAAATGGCCCTAAAATGCAACAGTAGTTACAGTGCCTTGCGAAAGTATTCGGCCCCCTTGGACCTTTCAACATTTCGCCACATTTCAGGCTTCAAACATAAAGATATAACATTTAAATTTTTTGCCATGAATCAACAACAAGTGGGACACAATCGTGAAGTGGAACGAAATTTATTGGATAATTTAAACTTTTTTAATAAATAAAAAACTGAAAAGTGGGGCGTGCAATATTATTCGGCCCCCTTACTTTCAGTGCAGCAAACGTGGGCGGCACGGTGGCTGAGTGGATAGCACTCTCGCCTCTCAGCAAGAAGGTCCTGGGTTCGAATCCCGGTCGGACCAGGGCCTTTCTGAGTGGAGTTTGCATGTTCTCCCCGTGTCTGCGTAGGTTTCCTCCGGGCACTCCGGTTTCCCCTACCACTAAAAATATGTCCAATAGTTCTAGCATGCGCCTCCTGTACTGGCGACCCCGCTCCCATCTCTGTGTGGAGTGAGAGACAAATGCCCAAAATTAACAATTGTAAACCGCTTTGAGACTCAGATCTGCAGTGAAAAGGCGGTATATAAATAAAAACTTACTTACTTACTACTTACAAACTCACTCCAGAAGTTCAGTGAGGATCTTTGAATGATCCAATGTTGTCCTAAATGACTGATGATGATAAATAGAATGCACCTGTGTGTAATCAAGTCTCCGTATAAATGCACCTGCTCTTTGATAGTCTCAGGGTTCTGATTAAAGCGCAGAGAGAACCATGAAGACAAAGGAACACACCAGGCAGGTCCGAGATACTGTTGTGGAGAAGTTTAAAGCCGGATTTGGATACAAAAAGATTTCCCAAGCTTTAAACATCTCAAGGAGCACTGTGCAAGCAGTTATATTGAAATGGAAGGAGTATCAGACCACTGCAAATCTACCAAGACCCGGCCGTCCCTCCAAACTTTCATCTCAAACAAGGAGAAGACTGATCAGAGATGCAGCCAAGAGGCCCATGATCACTCTGGATGAACTGCAGATAACTACAGCTGAGGTGGGAGAGTCTGTCCATAGGACAACAATCAGTCGTGCACTGCACAAATCTGGCCTTTATGGAAGAGTGGCAAGAAGAAAGCCATTTCTCAAAGATATCCATAAAAAGTCTTGTTTAAAGTTTGCCACAAGCCACCTGGGAGACACACCAAACATGTGGAAGAAGGTGCTCTGGTCAGATGAAACCAAAATCAAACTTTTTGGCCACAAAGCAAAACGATATGTTTGGCTTTTCTTCAGCAGGGACAGGGAAGATGGCTAAAATTGATGGGAAGATGGATGGAGCCAAATACAGGACCATTCTGGAAGAAAACCTGTTGGAGTCTGCAAAAGACCTGAGACTGGGACGGAGAGTTATCTTCCAACAGGACAATGATCCAAAACATAAAGCCAAATCTACAATGGAATGGTTCACAAATAGACGTATCCAGGTGTTAGAATGGCCAAGTCAAAGTCCAGACCTGAATCCAATCGAGAATCTGTGGAAAGAGCTGAAGACTGCTGTTCACAAACGCTCTCCATCCAACCTCTGTTTTGCAAGGAAGAATGGGCAAGAATTCCAGTCTCTCGATGTGCAAAACTGATAGAGACATACCCCAAGCGACTTGCAGCTGTAATTGCAGCAAAAGGTGGCGCTAAAAAGTATTAGCGCAATGGGGCCGTTTCAATTTTTTATTTGTTAAAAAAGTTTAAATTATCCAATACATTTCGTTCCACTTCACGATTGTGTCCCACTTGTTGTTGATTCTTGACAAAAAAAAATATTTTTATATCTTTATGTTTGAAGCCTGAAATGTGACGAAATGTTGAAAGGTTCAAGGGGGCCGAATACTTTCGCAATGCACTGTACAGAAATACGTTGAAACGGTTGAAAACACAGAAAATGCAATGATAGAAAACACTTGGTGCATTCAGGGCAGAGACCAATGTGTATAAATGTGGTTGAGTGTGGAGTGTCCTGGATCAGCACCACTGACCTTAGACCCTGCTGCATCAGCGAGGACCAACTCTAACAAAAAACTCGGTGGGAAAAAGAGAGAAACCTCTGGGAGCCCCACATTGAGAAAGAACATCAGTCTCTCCTCTCCAGCCCCTCCTCTTCTCTCCTCTCCTCTACTCTATTGAGAGACTAGTCTGGAGAAAAAGACCAGAGCGAGACTAGAGAGGCCTGCGAGACTAAGGCCAGAGAGAGACAAGAGAGGCCACAGAGACTAGAGAGAGAGACCACAGAGACTAGAGAGGCCAGAGAGAGACTAGAGAGGCCACAGAGACTAGAGAGGCCAGAGAGAGACTAGAGAGAGAGACCACAGAGAGACTAGAGAGAGAGACCACAGAGAGACTAGAGAGAGAGACCACAGAGAGACAAGAGAGGCCAGAGAGAGACTAGAGAGGCCACAGAGACTAGAGAGAGAGACCACAGAGACTAGAGAGGCCAGAGAGAGACTAGAGAGGCCACAGAGACTAGAGAGAGAGACCACAGAGACTAGAGAGGCCAGAGAGAGACTAGAGAGAGAGACCACAGAGAGACAAGAGAGGCCAGAGAGGGACTAGAGAGGCCACAGAGACTAGAGAGAGAGAGACCACAGAGACTAAAGAGGCCAGAGAGAGACTAGAGAGGCCACAGAGACTAGAGAGAGAGACCATAGAGAGACTAGAGAGGCCAGAGAGAGACTAGAGAGAGAGAACACAGAGAGACAAGAGAGGCCAGAGAGAGACTAGAGAGAGAGACCAAAGAGAGACTAGAGAGAGAGACCAAAGAGAGACTAGAGAGGCCACAGAGAGACTAGAGAGAGAGACCAAAGAGAGACTAGAGAGGCCACAGAGAGACTAGAGAGAGAGACCAAAGAGAGACTAGAGAGGCCACAGAGAGACTAGAGAGAGAGACCATAGAGAGACTAGAGAGGCCACAGAGAGACTAGAGAGAGAGACCATAGAGCAGGGGTGGCCAACCCGCGGCTCGTGAGCCGCATGCGGCTCTTTGGCTGGTTCCGTGCGGCTCTCGGGCTTTCACACGACAAGCGTCAAAAACGCCTCGGTGGTGGTGCTGCCTTTCATTCCCTATGTAGTTCTGACCCATAGTAAAGGCGGACTCCACTCCACTAGCCGGGCCGCCAAAACAATCTGACGTCGGCGAACGTCAATTCTGATTGGTCAGATGCGCTGTCAATCACTCTGCAGCCTCAGCTGTTGCAAATATCATAACAAACAACACGTTGCCTCGACCCATGACGTCCGTACGGAAAACAATTCCTTGGTCGCTGGATGAGGGCAACACCTTCCTCAGTTTGAAGAGAGGACACCAGCGTGAGCTCGATGGTTCCACCAGAAACCAGAAGGTGTTTGTGGAGCTAGCGCTAAGGACGGAGCAGAATGATTCCCACAAACATGACAATGCAGAGAAAAGTTAAAAAGCTTAAAAGTGACAACCGTGAAATGTAAGATCACAGCAGCAGAAGTAGAGGCAAAACCGAAAAGTCTGGAGGTGGTTTGACCAAATGGATTAAATTTACGGACATCGGCTAACACCGGCTAACATGCTAAAACCAGCTAGCACCAGCTACACCAGGAGATAAGCCAACTCTGCCTGGTGAGTGTCTGTCTTCAATCAAATGCAAAACTATCTGGTCTTATACTGAACATGTGTCTGTGGTTCTGAATCAGCTAAAGTGGTGTTGGTGTTATGTGTCAAATCTATATCTTTTGCTAAACGCAGTCAGAGTGAATCATGGTTCGATAAAGACAGTTGTGTTTCTGCTGAATACTGGTTTGAAACTTTCTTTTTTCATTGCGGAATCATAATTGATGTTCGCTGACGTGATATTGTTCTGGTATCAACTCGCCCGGTTAGAACCAGGGCCAAACCATTAATAAAAAGTACTGGGGAGCGGTTAAAGCGAGCGGTGGAAGCGCCTGCAAACTGGGGAGAGTCGAGTCCAGCCCTTTAGTGCTGTACGAGTCAATTTCT